TTTCGATGTAAAAAAAATCACTAACTTTTTTAAACGATTTTTTGGTTAACAAAAAAGAACTTAATTAAAATAAAATTCGATTATGGAATATTCACTTATTATTTGTGAAGGCTTAATGAATTAAAAATTTGTGTTTCGTGCTTTTTTGGGTTCACCAAAACTTCAACAGTTAAAATTAATTTTTTTTTTCGTTGTATGTATTACATATTGGTGTCATATGAAAGATCATAAAAAATCATGAATTTTGATATATTTTTTGAAGAATTTGGAGAAAAAATAAAAAAGTTATAAGAGTTTAAAATAAAATGGGATTTTAATGACGTAAGCGTGACATCAGCATTACGTTAGCAGAACGCATCAACAGCGCAGCAGCGGCCGCTTTTCTTCTTTTTTTTCTTTTTCCTTTTCTTTTTCCCTGTCAACCCAACCCTCTATTTTTAGCCTCCTCCACTCCCCTTCCCACTTTTACTCCCACTTTTAATCTCCCACTACACTCAATTAAGAGTCTAAAAATTCCATATTTAATTTTTTGACTCCTAATCTGTAAGACCATTTGTAGTGGTTAAGGATTAGGAGTCAAAAGATTAAATTTGGAAGTTTTAGACTCTTATTTGTGTGTAGTGGGGGATTAAAAGAGGGAGTAAAAGTGGGAAGGGGAGTGGAGGAGTGTAAAAATAGATGGAGGGATAGACAGAGCAAAAATAAATGAAAAAGAAAAGAAAATAGGGGACCAGCCCACCTGCAGCTTCGTACGCTGCGCAGAGCTGCAAAGAAAACATAGTTGGTATCATGGTGACGTCATGATGATGTCACCGCGCACTAAATTAATGATCAAACGGCCAGGTTTTTGAAAAAAAAAAAACTTTTTGAAAGATCCAACGGTTGAGATCATTTTGACACTGTTCCAACAGCAAAAAAAAGATCCAACGGCCAATAAATCTAACGGTTCAATTTTTTTTTTCCAATTATTTTAATTAATATTTGATCAGAAAATCTATATAAACACCCTTATTCTTCCTATTTTGATCACACCTCTCCCATCTATCTCATTCTTTTTCATATTTTGTTTAAATTCCATGTGTTGTTATTTCACTCATCCATTTTTTTTAGTTACGTTAATAGTCGATACTTAATAAATATTTCGAAATATTACTAAGTTTGAGAAGAGAAGAGAATGTGCTATTACTAAGTTTCGATACTAACTTAGAAAATAATTTAATGTGCTATGGATAGATACACAACTTGAGAAGAGAATCCAATGCTCCAATGTGCTTGAACTCAGTTTGTAAATCGAAAAACGTAAAAAAAAATTAATTTTTTACATCGAAATGTGTATTTTTTATTTTATAATTATTCACGGAAAAAATTAAAAGTAAAACATTACTAATAATAATTTAATTAATGTTTTACTAAATTGATATGTAAAAAATATGCAGAGTGTATTTTATTGACGGTGCACGGATGCAGAGAAAAACAGTATTGACGGAGTCTAAACACTGTTTTCATATGAACGGAGTCCAAATTTAACAATTTGGACTCTTCACCACTACAAATGGTCTAACCACTACAAATGGTCTTAGGGTAATACTTACAACTCACAACTACGATCTCACCATTCTTATCCATTTAAGCAAACTAGGTGCTAATGAAAATCCAAAGTCGCATTTATGCGTATGTTTATATTGATTTTAGTGTTACTATTAATATTTATAATTAATATTCGATCTTATTCACATAAAAATTTACAATAATATTTAATGTAAATAAATATTAGTAAAACAAAATACAATAATATTTATGCTTGTATTCATAATATTGTTTGCTCTAACTTCTCAAAAATATTTAGAGGGTTAATAATTAAGAAGTAGAACCGATTTTTCAAATATTGTTTACTCTAACTTCTCAAAAAATTGCTCCGCAAGATTAAATACCGATGGTTGGTTTGCAAATGCTTTTAAAAAAGCACTTCTTAGTTTTTGGCTTAAAAACACTTATTTTACCAAACACTACCAATTCTTATTTTTCTCGGCTTTCGTATCAAAGTGCTTTGACTTTTGCTATTACACAAAAAACACTTATTTTACCAAACACTACCAACATTTACTTTTCAAAATTACTTTTTTCTCAAACACTATCAACTTTTATTTAATCACTTCTCCCCATTTCATTAAAAAAGCACTTTTTTAAAGCAGAAGTTGTTGCAAACAGACCTAATGTGTTCATGTTTGAGTGAACGATAATTGAAAGAGGAAGAAAAGCATGGGCGGAGCTAGGGGAGGGCCAACCCTGGCCCTGTCTCAGCCTTAAATTAAAAAATGCATTAATTTTTGGTGTAAAAAATTTCATGTATTTTTTTTCAAAAATATTCTTTGTATCGGCCCAGCTTGACCCAGTGCTCTGGCTCCGCCCCTCACGAAAAGAGTATTTGAAAGTTCATAGTTCACATGTATGTTTGATATTAGATAATTATGTGAGAAAAAGACACTAGCTTTTTAGTAATTGAAAAACTCTCGAGGTGGTTTACAAAATTAAGATTTTTTTTTGGAAATTTAGCATGAGAAAAATGATGTAGCAAACACACACTTCAAGTTTTTAAATATATTAGCAAAAAAAGTTATTTTTAAATAGTAAAGAAGTTAGAGAAAACTGACTGCTTATTAAACATGTATTATTTAGTCAAAAAATAAAAAATTAAACATGTATTATGAGAGCGTTTCCAATTACTTCTGCTTTTAAAAATATCCTTCTAAAGTGTTTTTTAAAAAAATACTTAATAGTAAAAGTTGTTAGTGTCTGAGAAAAATTGATTTTGAAAAGTAAAAATTGACAATGTTAAGTAAGATATGTGCTTTTGTGTAATAGAAAAAAAGTAAAACATACTCTATATATAGCTTTTAGGTGTTTAAATTAAGTAGAAATTGTCATTTGAAAAAAGTCATTTTTGTTTTTTAAACCAAAAGCTGAAAACTACTTTTTTTTTTTAATTTTTTGCAAAATACCCTATATTATTAACGGAATTAAATTTTGCAAATACTGTTCAGTTAATACTCTCTTTTATAAATAACCACACATTCTTCACTTTTGAAAGGATTTTTACCAATTCAGGACTTAGAAAAATAGGTGAGCTCCCTATTCCGAACTTGAAAGACGATTGTTTTTATTAATTCAGGTCCTGAAATATAAATGCGCCATCAATATGAAACTTGAAATATGAAATGTATCGATATTGAACCCGTATGATTTAAAATTATCAATTTAAGACCTATGTAATCATGAATATTATTATTTTATTATTCTAATAAATTTTATTCAATTTTATTAGAATAATAAAAGATAAAAAATATTATTCAATTTTATTAAACTAATAAATTTTGTAATTAATTTAAATAAAAGATAAAAAATATACATGTTAAAAAGTATACTTGAGTTTTAGAAATATCCGATACTTACTCCTTAAAACAAAGCCTCAATGCAATTAATTAGTTGGGTTAAAACTTAAAATCTCAAGTCGAAAGTGCCAAAGTGGTGGGTATCCTAAAAGTGACAATTTTGATTAATTTTCTACCTGGCCTTTTGCCACTTTTAGTCCTCCGATTATTTTGTCATTGACACATTTGATATTCGATTTTTTCATTTTTAGTCCTCGGCTATTGTGTTAGAGACAGTTTTAGTACCCGCTTTGAAATATTCCATATTTAGTCCTCGACTTTCATAAAAGTGACATTTTTAAATCCTTGAACTATTATAGTAAGGACAATTTTAGTCCTCCGCTTTTGTGTGCAAATCATAGTGAAAAGACTAAAAAATATCAATTTGAAAATAGTATGAGGATTAAATGTGGAAAAATCTGAAGTCGAGGACTAAAAATGTCTTTAACACAATAGTTGGGGACTAAAAATGAAAAAATTTAAAAGTTGAGTACCAAGATTGTCACACAATAGTGAGAGACCAAAAATGGCACAAACACTTTTCTACCCCAACGTACGTTCAAGTTTCACCGCAAAAACACAAAGTTTTAATTCTTCTTTTAATTGTAGGGAAAATCGCACATTTCGTCCCCCAATTATCCACCATATTGAAATCTCGGATCCGTGTTTTAGGTTTATTAAATGTCACCCCCAGGTTGTCAGAATAATTATAAATGTCACCTCTGTCGTTATAAATATTACAAACTCTGGCTGTCTTTCAATTATTTCAGGGTTAAAATTGTCATTTCTCTTCCTTTGACGTTCAAAGCCCTTAATCGAATACAAACCATACTTCGTCTGTTGGTTGGGAGTGAAAACCTCTTCAGCCGTTCATCCTTCGCCCCGAAACCAACGTATATAACAATAAAGAACTTTGGTTTGTCTACTTACACTTTGGAGTCACATTTAACCCATTGAGTCTTCGACTGATCATCTTTCTCGCCTCTGTCACAGCTTCGGCCTTCAAATGGGAATCTTTGCCTCAATATACCTTCGTTATTCGAACACCATGTGCAACGGAAACTTGGCGGAAAAAATGTTTAGAGCAAAGGTTTAAGGTTAGCATTTGAATTTTGGAAGGATAAGCGTGATAAGGGGTTGGGGGTAACTTGAATTAGGGCTTTAAACGAAAAGGATGTGAGATTACAAGTTTAACCTTGAAAAAATGAAAGACAGGCGGAGTTTGTATTATTTATAACGGTAGAGGTGACATTTATAATTATTCTGACAACCCGAAGGTGATGACATTTACTAAACCTGAAATACGGGTCGGGGATTTCAATATGGTAGATAATTGGGGGACGAAATGTGTGAAGATAATAAACCATAACAAGAAAAAGAAATGGAAGTAGAATAGAGAATTTCCGATGTTTCTTGACATTACTAGCTTTTAGAACAAATGAACAAATGACACTTGGAAGATGACCAACCGACACGTGTCCTCTCTCCATGCACCCTTCAGCCACGTAGCATTCCATCTTGTGTATATATATTCGTACGTATATACTACTAGCGCGTATATATTCAGGTATACTCCGTATAATCCTCCGGAACTGAATTTCCACTCCCAAAAAGAAAACTACCAAATTCAAAATCTCATTTTCCTTCCTTTTTCGAAAGTGACGGTTAAGAACATGGCACCCAAAACTATTCGCAGGGCATTAATCGCTGCGGCGGCGGTTATGATCGTTCTGTTGGCGACGGCGACTCCTTCCGCCGGCAACGACGATCTTCATGGTAAAGAGCGCGTGAATATCAAAGTGGAGACAAAAAATCCTGCCGTTGAGGATGACAAAGATCAGAGTTCGGAGTCGTGGACGGAGTGGGCGAAGGACAAACTCTCCGAGGGCCTCCGGCTGAAGTCCACCCAAGACGCCGCGAAAAGCGCTAAGGAGAAGATCGCCGACTCGGCCTCCGGTGATCAATCCGTCTCAGGCTGATTATTTTGTTGGTGATTTGTTAATAAAGTGCATGGATTTAGTATTTTGTTGTATTCTTATTCATAAGCAGGAACAGGGCAGTATGTAGCAGACAAAACAGAGGAGGGTAAAAGGGCGGCCGGAGAAGCTAAAGACAAAATCGCCGGCTCTACTTCCGGTGATGAATCCGTTTCCCGGTGATTTTTTTGGCAATTTGTTAATGATTTGCATGTATTTAGTACTGTGTCGTATTTCTTATTGATAAGCAGGAACAGGACAGTACGTAGCAGATAAAACAGAGGAGGGTAAGAGGGCGCCAGCACAGGGCCTAGGCGGGCCCCTAGGCGGGGACTAATCGGAGACATATAAATTATAGTTTTATTAATATTTTTTGCATAAATATGATTAATAATGTTGTATTTATGTGTATATAAAATTAAAACACACAATAACATGCATGAATGATAAGAGTTTTCACATTTAATAGCATATTATACATACTTCTTAACTTCAAGTAATATTACGTAATAATTATTAATAAATAATAATAACACTTAAGAATATATATATAAAAACATGTATATTATTTTTTTCAATCTACAACTAGTAGCATTCTTCATATGCGTTGTTAGAGTTAAAGATACATATATCTCTTAAAATACTAAAATAAAAAACAAAATAAAATGTTTGATGAATCTAGATGACTAGGCGGCCGATTAAGCACTCTAGGCGGGTAGTTAGCCGCCTTAGGCGGCCGACTAATTCACCTAGGCGCCAAATCAATTAGTCGGAGCGTCTAGACTAAAATCGGGGTGCCCGAGTACCGCCTAGCGCCTAGGCGGGGACTAGTCGGGCGCCTAGAGCGATTTTTAGAACCATGGTAAATATTGACATTGTGATTGACATTGCAGAAAAACTTATCAAAATGGTATAAAATCATTCAAATAAGGAGAGAGATAATTTATTTTTTAATATTTATGTGGCTATTTTCGATGTCACATGTGCACCGTCCATCCACATTACAACATTAGAGATGCTATAAGGAGCCTGAAGTATGTAATACTATCCTCCGTCTCTTTTTAATCGCAATATGTTGAATTTTACACTATTCACATGTTCTACTTTGACTACATTTTATATTATTATTTTGTGAAAATTATTTTTTTAAAATTATACTGTTCAATTCATCTCATTACAAATTTCCAAAATCTAATTTTTAAATATTTTTTACTAATAGGGATTAAGATATAATTACGCTCAAAGATGTGCATTGGCAAGTGTGAAATGTTGACCGTTGCAACTAAAAAAGAACGGAGGAAGTACATCCACATTCTGATATTGTCGATTCACCACCATTTTAAATAAGTGCATTGACCGAAATAAGATGTAGTAGTTCCAATTTGTTTTTCAAAAGTAACATTTTTTTATGAATCAAAATCCTTCCTATCGATTTTTTTGATCGAAAAATTCTTCCAATAAAAAATTCAATTTCAATAATTCACAAAAATTGATATTATGTTATATTATCAGGTAGATATGAATATTGAATATCGATCTCATTTTGCATGCGAATGCAGGAACAGGACAATACATAGCAGACAAAACAGAGGAGAATAAGCGGGCAGCTAGCGAAAAAACCAGAGAGGCCAAGGACATGACGTCCGACGCGTCGGAGAAAGCGAGACAAAAAGCTTCGGAGGTCGCCGGAAAAGCTTATGAGACGACGAAAGAGACAGCGTCCAAAACAGCCGACCAAGCCTACAAGAAAACAGGGGACGCTAAGGACTTTGTGTACGAAACAGCCAAAGACGCCGGAGCAAAGGCATCCGAGACCGCGGGGAAAGCATCGGAGACGGCCGAACAGGCGAGGCAGACAGCAGCGGAGAGGGCTAGAGAAGCGAAAGAGAGGGCCGAACAAGCAGGGGAGCAGGGGAAGGAGAATTTGGGCTGGGCAGCGGAGAAAGCGAAGGAAGGGTACGAAGCGGCGAAGAACAAAGCCGGCGAAGCGTTGGAGACGGCTAAAGATAAAATTGCTTCGAATCTCGGGAATGCGAAGGAGAAAGCGCAGGATGCTAAGGATAACGTAGTTTGTAGCGACAAAGCGGTCGGGAAAAACGCCAACTCAAAACTCCGCGACGAGGAGCTCTAGATTTTTCTTATTTATGCACTATGACCAGCAGCTTTCCTAAATTGTGCTTGAAATGAAACTCGTTTGGATATTTTGTTTTACGTTAATATATAATCCGTAGATATATTTTGTTTTGTGTACGTTACGTTCCCTGTTCTTTGGCTATGTTTGGCATGACATTTCAGCCCATAAAAGGCTAGAAGTCTTTGATTTCAGCCAATAAATGATGAATTAGCATTGTTTGGATGATAGGCTACATGGAGCTGAAATTGAAAAAAGGAGACTGAAGAAGAACGTTACTCTCTAGGCAACGTTTCTATTCCGCTATTTTTATAAACCCCACACCTACCTAAAATATCCATTCATTCAATTACCAGTACACCACTCATGTGTTCGATCTCACTCTTTTGTGGCTCTAATGGCTAGCTATTTTACACTACGTAGTTAGAATAATGAAGATTATGGAACTTTTATTTTTCTCATGAGAACCAATACATAGCACCGTTTAAATTTCCTATATTTTCTTTGCGTTTTGCATTTCGGATACTACATGGGAGGATCTATGTACAGGCTATGGTGGATACTACATGGGAGGATCTATGTACAGGCTATGGTGGACTGAAGCCAAGGCAACTTAAAAAAATTTCAATTTTTTTAGTGTAATATTTTTTTTTGTTTTTCACATTTAGCCCATCCTATTAATATTTATGTCTAGTATAATTGCTATTTTGCCCAGGACATCCTGGATTCCTGGATCCGCCCCTGGGATACTATCATTTAAATTGCAAGTTCGTGCAAAAAAAACTTCGTAAATTATACGTACTATAATTTTAACATTTATTATAATATACTAGTACAAATTATTATAATAATTTTTGAAATAATATATTTTTGTCCTTTAATGTAATTTGACATTACAATCACTTTATCAGCTCTTTTTGTCAAACGAGTATACTCTATTCAGGTAGCAGTTCAGATTCAGCACTTCACAATTCAGTTCCAGACAATAGTCTTTAATTCAGACAACAGCTCTCAATTCAGACATTAGTCTCTAGCTTCAGCTCGTTGTGCCAAACATAGCTTTTGTGTCTTTGTTCAAGCTTTACATTCAAGCCTAGTGATTAAGATACATTTTGGAGACTAGCTTCAGCTCGTTGTGCCAAACATAGCCTTTGTGTCTTTGTTCAAGCTTTACATTCAAGCCTAGTGATTAAGATACATTTTGGAGACTAAAAAAAGATGCATTTTGGAGAATTAATACCTCATTTAGAAAGGGCAGCCAACGCCATATCATAACTTCCAAAAAAAATCTTTTGATGTAGTTGATATTTATTTTATCTTTTTCTCCTTCAATCGTAACCAATGAGTATTTTGTTAATTCAGACTAGGAATTTGTTTCGGATAGGGAAAGTACAAGTCTCGATCTCAAGTTTCAACCCATGACTAAAGTCTAAAACCCCCAAAGGCGACTCACTAGGCGAGTGGTTTGGTCACGCTTGTGACTTGTCGAAGTACTTCCCGTAAACTTCATTTTTTCTTGAATCAAACTTCACATTCCTCTTTTTCTACAAAACTACACTATTGATGAACTACACGGCGCGAAAGCATAAATGAAGAAGGAAAATTGTTGGCTCAAAGACGATTAGATAGATTAGATATGATGCCGCCCTCTCAACAACGGATACCTTGGCTCTCGATCGGTACGACGCCCTCTCAACAACGGATACCTTGGCTCATCGGTACGACGCCCTCTCAACAACGGATACCTTGGCTCTCGGTACGACGAAGAACATAGCGAAATGTGATACTTAAAATTGCAGAATTCCATGAACCATCATTCTTTATCCGCTTCCCTTTTACCAATGAACCATGGTTCATTCTTTATCCGCTTCTCTTTTGACAATTTCATGCACTCTTTTTTAATAATTATCGAAACGTAGACTGATCTACATGTATTATTGACGAAGTGTGATTCGGTTTACTCTAACATAGGAATGAAATAAGTACAAGTATCATAGTTTTGCTTAATTGTAAGCGTATTATTATGTAACTCAAAAATGTAAAAACGAAAATTTATGTATGATAAAATTACACTACATGTTTTATTTTGAAAGTTATAGCGGCCGGAGGCCTTATGGAATGTGGAAATAAAATATGAATGCCCCATTAGTTTTCGTACTTGTAATTTTACAATAAATTATACTTTTATTAGGAGATACCCATTTTTATGTAAGTCTATCTGTTCTATAAGAAATGTCTGAAACTACTTCCTAAAATTGTACCTTCCCTTTGAGAGAGCAAAAACAAATAGAGTATTTGAGTGAAAGTATAAAGGTATTTCAAAGTGTTTTAAGTTGTTTCTAAAAACAATTTTTTTGAATTTAGGAATGACTTTCTTCAAAAAAATAATTCTAATTCTTCTTATGCTTTTAATAAAGAGGAAGTGAAATCGATTCAAAACACTTCCTATTTCACATAGTGCTACACAATACTCCATAATTTTTAGGCGGTAATAGTTACTCCGTATAAGTTTGGAATTTAGGATTGACGATTTACGTATTGCATCGTTCAAATGGGTCTAATATAATTACTACCGTTTCTGTATATAATTTTTCTATCAAATAAATAGCATGAATAAGGTATTAATAATAATAAATGTTCATTCTTTGTATGATAAAATGTTCATTGTGGTTTTTATCTTGTTCATTACTTCGTATTATTTCTCATTTTTGCATGTGCCAATTAATTTTTCTTTATATTTCATCTACCAGCGGTATTGTCGTATTGACATCCTTATTTATGTGATTGGTCAATTTCTGGCATATTCGCCAAAAATGTTCTAAATGAAATACTCAATTTGGATAATGGGCTGAAATTTAGCCCTTGAATTTGTTTTCGGCCCATTTAAATCGTGAGGCTTAGAAAATGGGACTAGTGTAGATTACTAGATTGGAATCTCTAGGCCGGATTTTGACAATTAAACTGCAGTTTAATCTTTGTTATTCTTAAGGAAAATTGTCCTGAATAGGACTAAATTAATGGGTTTGTGCATTCCAAAATAGAACTGTTATGTTTTATTTTCTAAATAGGAGTAATTACTGCTATGTTTTGGGCTTTTGGCAGTGTACCACACTTTTGAAATGACAATATTTTTCAAACTTGACAATAATTACTTCTATTTAGATAATAAAAACATGACAATTCTATTTTGAAAACTAAAACGTTTTTGCTCCCATTTCGTGAATTTTCCCTATTCTTTATTAAAATAGAAGGATTTAATAGGCACAAGGTGATTACTAACCAAGCATTCCAGTCCAGCCGATTGTGAGATTGCCGTGCCTAGTGGGAGGTCTCGAGTTCGAAACCCGCTAGGCACATAAGGGTTTGAAACCCCCAACCCCCTCCCCCGGACTCCGGAGTAAAAAAAGGCACAAGGTGATTACTAGAAGTCTAGAACTGATCCCTTTAAAGCAAGAATCGGAATAAACATAACAAACTTTCAATAACAAATAAATAAACTATGTAGATGTAATTATTATAATTATTACTAGCGGGTTCTAGTCAGGTGGGCTTATTGAGCTAATCTTTCTTGCGCAATCAAAAGAGAATGTGTGAGAATTTACCCCACACATTCTCTTTGTATGGAGAAAAAAATTGTATGGAAAGATAAGTACATATAAACTATAAAGTTCTTATTTTGTAGGCAAAGTACATCATTACCAACAAAACTAATTTTGTATGCAAAAAAATTGTAGGAAAGGGTGAAAATCTAGTAGTGGTTAATCCATGGAAAGCATTTAATCAATTGTTGTTTATATAGTCATACACAAAAATTAAGAATGTAAATTAACTAACCCAGGCCAAACATGAACATCAGGCCTGGTCCATACAGTTAGGATGTGTAGGGTTCAGTTGTGTTTTAGTTTATGAGACATTGTTCGTTTCAAACTCAAGTTATATTTTCATGCACTTAAAATGAAATTTTGGATCCCATAAACACATTTGAACGTGATAAAACACCCATCTGAACATATTTATTGATTTCAACACCCAAAATTTTAAATGTTGTAAAGCTATGTAATCAAACCATTCAATTAATTCTTAAAAAAAACTGTTTATGTTTTATTTCCTATTCAGGATTTTGAAAGCTTTGTGATTTGAAGTTTGAAACTCTTAGTTATTTAATTTTTAATCTATGACATTTGAAATTTATAAATTGTATTTTGTACTTTTTGTTCGTTTCAAGTTTTATATTAGTAAACAGGTACTACTTATTTAGGGTGTAAACATAATGAATCTCAATTTTATCACTTGATTTTTCTTTGAGTCTCAATGACTCAGCATTTATTTGCGAGACTCTCTCTTTAAGGTCATATTCTACTCTTGTTGTTTGTTGATGATACAACCATTATAGGTGATGATGTTCAGTATTGTCCTGGACGAAACTTTATCTTGTCAGTTTGAGTTGGAGTATGTTGATCATCTTCGCTATTTTTTGGGAATAACTTATTCATAGAAGGGATATATATTTATTTATTTTCTCAATCCAAGTACACTAATCTAAGTACACTAAGGATATTCCATTCTCAAGTATACTCGATCACTTCACAGACACATGTGCTATTGACTCCCCTTGTGCTATTTATTTACGTAGTATTTAATAGAAGAGTAAGTAATGAGATATTGATGTTGTTTCTCATATTGATGTTGTTTCTCACTTTCTCGCTATCCCACTAACGAGTATGCATGGACCCGGGCCGGGCCGGTTCCGGTTCCGGGCCGGGCCTGGGCCGGTTCCGGTTCCGGGCCGGGCCTGGGCCTGGGCCTGGGCCGGTTCAATGTTTTTTTTTTAATTTTCTTATGCTTTTCTAATTAACCCCCGACCCCCCTCCTCACCCCACCCCCCAAACCCCCCAAAACACCCAGCCCAACCCCGGGAAAAGAAAAACACAAAAAACAAAGAAATAGGCCCGAAACCGGCCTGGTTCCACTTTTAATTTGAGGCACCCGAGCCCGCTCGGTTTGCTAACCGGTGCGGTCCTACCCGGCCCGGTCCAGGGCCCGGTCACCGGGCCGGACTGGGTCAGCACAGTACTGGGCCAGGCCGGTTCACGGGCCGGGCGGCCCAGTTTCGGTCCATGACTACTAACGAGGAGCATCTGCTATTGCTTCCATGACGTGTGAA